AATTTGTCAAAAAAAAAAAAAAAAAAAAAAAGAAAGAAAAAGAACAACGTGCACTTACAGTCAACGGGTTTCTTTTGGTAGTACCAGGTTTTGAACCCTTGACGTGCACGGTCTTGCGATCTTGTGTCCCGTGCGATTCCTCTGTACGTGTATGGCACCCGTGTCGGCGAGTTCTCGTTTGGTGCGGAAGGCGGTAGGACAAACCGAGGCAGATCAAGGGGCTCAAACATGGACGCAGGAGGGTAAAAGAAATTTTCCTCTGCTTTGACAGCACCTTTATAAAGGAATCGTTACATGCCGATAGTAGTCATGACAATACTCTGTTGAAATGTTGGGCAGGATAATTTTAGCATGCTACATTAACGTACATTTCCGTAGCGTTAATTTATACAGCACCCATACCGCAATTTAAAAAAATAATAAAACAGTAAAGAGCGTAAATTAATTGTTTCCATTAATGAAAGTCGTTTAAACTTTTGAAGTAGTCATGAATCACATTTATTTTACTGCCATTGTTTCTTCTTTTCAAACAGTGCTGTGACTATAAATAAGTATTACATAATAAAAAAATAATAATTTGGTTTATAAATTTGATTGCAATGTGTCTAATGCTAAGTCTTACACTTACAAGTGATTTTAGGATTTGTAAGATAAATTACCGGTATGACTATCAAATGGAGACTAGCGGTGGTAGCTTGTGCTACTCAAAAACAAACTGTCAGATAGAAGACGGTGGTAGCTTGTGCTACTCAAAAACAAACTGTCAGGCTGAAGGCGGTGGTAGCTTGTGCTACTCAAAAACAAACTGTCAGGCTGAAGACGGTGGTAGCTTGTGCTACTCAAAAACAAACCGTCAGACAGAAGACGGTGGTAGCTTGTGCTACTCAAAACAAACTGTCCGGGCTTCTAAATTTTCCCCAAAGTTCTAACACCCGCTTCTAAAATTTCCCCAAAGCTCTACCCCCCCCCCCCCCCCCCCCCCCAAATTATTGCGCCTGCCAGAATCAATAAGGGTAATAAATATTAATTCCAGATGACCGTGGGACTTAATCACACCGCAGTCACAGTAAAACAAAGACAGTTTTAATCAATACGGCTTTCCAGGGCAACTCAATAATGAATCCACAGCCACAGATTACAACAATTGATGAAATCCTCTGGGCAAAGAATTAATCAGCTTTAATTTAAATAAATAAATGTCATACGATTCAATATATCGCCGTATCGCCCTTTTTTTTTTGTCTCCCACATTTCTAATAGGCCCCTATGCAAATGCATGCGTTTATTCATTTACCGGTATGTTATTAATGTTTGATTTAGAGGGAAAAAGAATGAATATTCTATATGTCACATTGGGAAATAGTGTCGGTAGGCCGTCGATCTCTTAAAAGCCCCCCCCCTCCCGCATGCCCCCACACGGGCCAGGCGCTGGATTTCCCGTACACCAGACCGTGCGGTGGCACGCCGGGAGCCTCCCCCCTGTCCTGGGGGACGACCGGTCGACCGAAAACGCCGCGTTTAAAGCGTTCGCGGCCCACTCTATAATAAGAATAGATTATTAATACAGGGTTACTATTTTAAATGTTTTCAATCAATTAAAAATTAATTTTTAACGCACACATTATTTAGTTGGATAAATACATTTTAAAAAACAACAAAAAAAAAAAATAATAATAATAAAAACACTTTTATTCCGTCTCGCATGAGTTCTCAGCAAGCTAAACTTACCGTCAATAAAAACAAGATGGCTGCCAGAGCTATTGTTGCAAGCTTTGATGTGGCGCCAGCCCGCACCCGCCCTTCCTTCTCTATAGCTGCAATCATGCAAATAAGAAAATACAGAGACAAACTTTAGCGTGATTGTATAAACGCGTTTATATTACAACAGCTACAACAGCCGCACCGATAAAAAAAAACAAATTCTCATTCAAATCTCCCATGATTAAAAAAAAAAAAAAGATTAAATATTCACATTGGTTTTTGAGGCTGTGGGGGGTTCCGTCTCCAGAGCTTGAAGTAGTGCTGTCTGTTGATGGGGTCCATGGGCTGTGTGTAGGGGTTCTCGTCTACTTCGGGTTGAGGGTCGTTCTGGCATGTTTGAAAGACAAGTCTATCAACACTGTTGTACTGTTACTGTAACGTACCCTGATTGACAATCTGATTGTATTGACGTTGAGGAGTGGTTGGTGAGGTGAGGTGATGTTCCTTCTTAGCTTTTTATAATCTTTCTTTTTTTTTCTTTCTTTTTTTTATACTACAGACACCTTGTTTTTTTTTTACTACCGTAGTTTACCCGATGTCCAACTTTGCCTATTTCTTTAAAGCACCGAATATATATATATCTATATATATATATATATATATATATATATATATATATATATATATATATATATATATTATCCCGAAACCATTTGACGAGACCAAAGTCAATGTAAATTTAATCAATAACTTTGAACTGCATTCGTTCACTATTTTACACGCCTACTGGTGCACTTCTGGACACGGAGTTCTATGTTCAA